AGAAGAAAAGACTCCATTCATGATGGCTACTAAATAAAAAGTAAAATATCCAGCAATAAGCTTAACAAGAAATGTACAAGTCTTACATGAAGAAAACCTTAAAACACTACAAGGCATCACTAAAAAAGACTTATTAGGTAGAATAAAAAGATAGGGAATAAGTACCCACACTCATATATCTGCTTATATAAGCATTAAAATCACTGAAAGCATACCTAAGAAATGACAGCATTGCTGACAATCTTTGGGGAGTGAGACAATGGGGCAGAGGTAAGAGGAAAACAGTATACACCCTTTTGGATGATGACCCATGTGAATGTGATACCAACTAAAAAATGAATTCAAATTAAAATTTTTAAACATTAGTAATACTGGAAACACTTCTCATCCCTAACTCCCAGCCACTTAATTAGGTTCTGATGATTGCCTCTCCAAAACATCTCCTATTTACCCATCTCCTCCCCAACTCTTGTCATCCAACTTAAACTCCTTATGCAATTGTCAGAGCCTCCCAGCTGGCCTCTGCATTCCTTCTCTCCCTATTAAGAATGCACCCAACTCCACCCCCCTCTCTCTATGAGACCAGCTTCACCTACATCTGATGAAGTCCTGCCTCTATGCACCAAGGATGCTGACTGCCTACAGAAACCTCCCACTCCTCAACTTGGCTTATTCAGATCCAAGCTACCTTACCTATGAGCAAGAGAGTTTTGTGTGTGTGTGTTTTACCTTTTCAATTATCCTAAAAGTTTCTTCAAGTTCAATTATTGTCGAATCCATCTTATTAATTTCAAAAATTCTTGGTAGGGCATCTTGCACATATAAGGTGCTCAATAAATATTTTTTTAATAAACACAAGAATAAATATTAGCTATAATTAACAAAATATTAAACTAAACATTGAATAAAAATGAAAAGCATGGTCTCTCCTTCAAGCAGCTTGAGAAAAAAGAAGTTTAAGATAACTAAATACTGTTATTGCCACAGCCAGTTTTGCTCAGTGGATAGAGCATCGGTCTGCGGACTGAAGGGTCCTGGGCTCCATTCTGATCACGGGTAAATGCCTGGGTTGTGGGCTGGATCCCCAGCAGGGGGTGTGCAGGAGGTAGCCAAGCAATGATTCTCTCTCATCATTGATGTTTCTATCTCCCTCTTCCTTCCTCTCTGAAATCAATAAAAATATATTTTTTAAAAAATACTTATTTACCAATGATAAAAGTTTATTCTAAAATAGAACACTTCACTATAGTTTTCAAGTCCAAACATGTTCTCATTCCCACCTTCCTCCTTATCTCCCCATCTCCCACTTAGCCTACTTTCCTTACTTCAAGATGACAATATCCTCAAATTCCATATCCTAAGTGATATTTGTTCATTTCAAATGACATGCAAATGGCTTAAGTATCTTGATGCTGCTTCTTCTGATAATGGCCTTAACAATGTCAGGAAAAAATAACAATGTATGAAGTTATATGTACAATCTATCTCATTGATCTGGGCTTCGGCTTTCCCATAATTTAAACTTAATAAACACTTCATCTTTCCAAAATCCACAGGAAAATCCATTATGTGTTCCAAATCCCTTATAATAAAAGCAAGTCCAGCCTTTAGCGTTCTTACTTATCACTTTTTCTTCTACCTGAATCCCATTAAAGGACATTACATGCTCCCAACATCATAAAAAGGCTATTTAACATCTGAGGTCAGACCAATGAAGCAAATCACATAACTGCCTACATTGTCATTGTCGGGCCATCACTAGAGTGACCCAGACTCATAGGATGGAGACCCAGTTCTGCCATCATTTGACTCCACATTGAGTTAGTTAAGTTCTCGGTCTGCAGAATCGGGATGTTAGACTCACTTGCTGAGGTCCCCTTCAACTTTAACATTCTGATTTTATATTCTACTAGAGGCCCAGTGCATGAATTCGTGCGCGGGTGGGGTCCAGCCGGCCCGGCCCCAATCGGCGGATCAGGGCCAGGCTTGTTGGGAAGAGGAAACTGCAGGAAGTTGGCTGGCCAGCCCACCCCGATTGGGGCCCAATCAGGGCCAGGCCGGCTGGGGGGAGGGGCACAGGAGGTTGGCCCGCCAGCCCCACCCCCCAATCGGGCTGGTTCGCTGGCTGCAGTGGGTGTCATACCAACCGGTCATTCCAGCGTTCTGGTCGCTGGCTTTTTATATCTATAGATAGATTAGAGATCTGAAAAACAATTTAAATGACCTTAAAAAAAAAACCCACAAGATTTGAAAATGCTTTTGTCAGAGAATTTAGCCTAACACTTAAAAAAAAAATGAAAATCCAATTTACAGAAGAGAAGGAAAGCAATCATGGGAGGTTCAAATTACAAGAGCTTTAACTTTACCAAAATCATTCACGGGAAGAGCTTCCCTAGGACACTGAGGAGTGGGTTTACACAACATTAAGTTTGTGAAGACAGAAAAAGTGTTAAGTGCCATAGTCAAGAATAAAATCATTCAAAAGAAACTAAACAATCTCTAATGTTATGATGGAAATAAATGTACATTTGAGTCAATTTGCCCTCAAATTTTGAGAACAATTCTGTGTAAAGAAGGCATGAATAATAAAAAGTGCTTTGGTAAGAGGCATAAAAATTACAAAGTTTAAGAAAAGAAAAGAAAAAACTTCTCATATGAGGGGGAGACAGAATAGCAGAAACAGAGGAAAATTCAAAATCCTAATTCCACAAAGAATATCAGAAAATTCATACTTGTAGAAAAAGGGCTGAATACATACATATATGAGCATCTTTCTATTCATATTATTTTTTTAAATATATTTTTTGTTGATTTCAGAGAGGAAGGGGAGGGAGAGATATAAATATCAATGATGAGAATCATTGATTGGCTGCCTCCTGCACACCCCCTACAGAGGATCAAGCCCACAATCCAGGCACGTGACCTGACAGGAATCGAACTGCGACCTCCTGGTTCATAAGTCAACGCTCAACCACTGAGCTACGTGGGCTGGGCTCTATTCATATTCTTTAAGGCAGCATTACACAAAGGGTCTTCTACACAGTTTCAAAAACAAAACAAGCTTCCATGGTTAAAATAAGTTCAATTACTAGTTACTACATTACCCTGGTATGTGTTAGGATTGCATTCAGCATGTAACAGAAATTCAACTACAATAGTTTAACCAAATAGGGCTTTATTTTCCTTCTAGAACAATCAGGCTGGTAGAGTAGTTGCATGAAGCCATCACGAGCTCCTTGAGTCTTTCTGATTTGCTGCTCTTAGCATGTGGCTTTTGTTTTCCTGGTACAAGTTGTCCACAGATCTTTCAGGCAGGAAAGGGGAGGAAAGGGCAACGCAAAGGTGTGTGCCTTCCTCCTTAGACCCCATTTCTGAAGAAACCAATAGCTTCCTGGAAGCCCGCACCCTGCAGAGACTTTGACTTCTATCTCACTGGCCAGTACTGGGTCACTTCTAGTGACAAAGGAGCATGGGGTGGTGAGAATTTTTAACTAGATACACGCCACCTACAGCAAAATCAGAGTTCTGAAAAGAAGAGCGACTGGATGTTTAGCAATTTAAAGGGTCAAAAATGCACGTTTGATATTAAAGGCTCTGAGAAACGGTGCAGTCAATAAACCTGTTTACCTTTTTTAAACACAGTACTTTTTTAAAATTTATTTTTATTGTTGAGGGTGTTACAGATGTCCCCCATTTCTCCCCACCCTTTACGTCCCCCCTCCCCCCGCACCTGCACCTGTTTTTAAACTGATTTAAACACAAATTTCTTATTTCCTTTGAACAGCCCCATGAAACCGCATCCGCTGCAGCACATATTGGGAAATACTGCTTGGGAAAGTAAACGAAGATAAAACGTCTACTCTTATGAAAGAATCTGTTTTCATACTTAGAAAGGGAAAGGGAATATGTTGCCTTTAAACAAAGGGTTCTGGAAATTCCTGAAATAACAGGATCTGGTGTGTTTTCTCTTTTTATGTCAAGGCCCAATTCCAGTGAGCAAAATCTTTTCTCCTCCCGCTTTATGCCTAAATTGGGTCATGGCTCATTTCCTCTTTATCATCCTGTCTCAACTCCAGTCATTTCTTTCTGGAACTTCCCTCCATCCTAACATTTTAGTCTGGCCCTTAAATGTCCATTCCAGAGTTTCTCCAAGATTTCACTCATCCTTTGGTTCAGCTTCTTAGGCTTAACTTTTCTCCTCTCATTTTCATATTGTACCTCCAGAACAATTTGGGCTTAACATTTATGTATTGAGTTAGCCCTTCCTGTGTATTTTTTACTCAGTCTTTCCAGCCATTCTTTGATACCTCATGGAGGCTGCTACTAATTCAATGCTATTACAGATCCCAATATTACTTTCAAAAAGAAATGTTCATATTTTTTAGGGGGGAAAATAGGAAAAACAATCAAAATATAACTTTTCATTCAGCTACTAAAGCGTTCAAAAGAAAGCCATTCATGACCTGGCTGGTTTGGCTCAGTGGATAGAGCATTGGCCTGAGGATTGAAGGGTCCCGGGTAGGATTCTGATCGGGGCACATGCCCGGGTTGTGGGCTCAATCCCCAGTGCGGGGCGTGCAGGAGGCTGCCGATCGATGATTCTCATCATGGATATTTCTCTCTCTCTCTCTCTCTCCCTCTCCATTCCTCTCTGAAATCCATTAAAAATATATATATTTTAAAAGCCATTCATCATATCCAGTTCCATTAAAATATTCATTTCTTCATAGAATTGTACACCTGAAACCTATGTGATTTTCTTAACCAATGTCAACCAACAAATTCAATCAAAAAGTAAAAAAAGTAAAAATTAAATATTCATTTCTTTTCATTCACTTTGATAAAGTGTGTGTGTGGGGGGGGGGGGGGGCTCTAAGGTTTTTCAAGAATTTTCTAGAAACCGCCGGAGATAGAGTACATTTTTCACATTCCCAAACACCAGGCTTTTCCACAGCACACATGCGTATTTCCTTGCCGAAATAACCAAGGCTCATCTTTTCTGGAAGGGAACTAAGAAAATGCCATCTTTTATTTCCTAAGGAAAAATATTAAATAGGTCAAATATATAAAACTTTCATGGAAAAAAACAAAACAAAAGGCAGCACCTTCATTTAAGCCATTAAAGGAAATGTATTTAAATTCCCCAATGGAATTCCATGCTCTGTAACAGGAAAGGTTTATTCACTGACTTCAAAGAAACAGACTTGGCTTATCACCCCATTTTATGAAGGTGATGAATGGAACTGAACCCCAGAGGATAGCTTACCCTTCTGTTTTCTAGAAACCAGAAAGAGAAAAAAAAAACAAAGGCCATTAAGAAAATTCACTTCTCCAGGAGACAGGCCTCTAGAAAATCAAAGGATCATAAAATATTCAAATGCCATAAAAGGCCTTTCAGTGCGGACTCCTGGCTCTATGGGCTCTCCATCCTCTGTCATCGCTCACGAAAGGGACGGCACAGCCAGCTCGCTCCAAGTTAGACATCTGGACAGCACCACTCAGGTCCAGCAGAACACTTCCCAGTTGCTTCCAGAGAAAAGACTGGAACCTCCCAACCACCAGGGGAACTAAGAGAAACAGAAGCAACCTCATCATCGCACCTCTCAGCCCTATTTCAAGTTTAGTCCTTCCTGCCGCGCAGCCATCCTTCCCTATAATCTTACCCCCACATCCCCATCCTGATCCCCACCCTCGTACACCCCCTTTCTACTGTATGTACCTCTTGGAACCATTCACACCGCACCCTCTCCCCCTGTCTATGCTGAAACTAAAACTTTTGCTGGAAATGCAGCCCCTTCTTATTCCCCAAAGCCAAAACGAAAGTCCTCCACCAGTGGGTGAAGCTTCCACCTACCTCGACCAGTCGTTTTCTCCCATTCACTGAAGACCTTGCCACCTGACTCCGTCTTCTTTGAGACACCAAGTCCAGCTGTCATTCTGAATCACCTTAGAAGTCACTGAGCACACTGCCTAGTCTGTTCCTTGTGCTCATTCTGTAACCTCCTTTTCTGTGTTACTGCCTTCCTCTCCAAGGTCCATCCTGGACTCAATCAGAACGGCTCCACCTCTGACAGGACCTCCAAGCACCTCGCTCCTCTTCCTTTTATCCTCTGTAAACGCCTTCCCCTTCAGATCTTTCTCCCAGCTTCTCCCACAACACCAACGTTCCCATTTTACATGATGCTCCAATTTTCCAATCCCTCTGTTTTCCACTTCTCTGATAGTCCTCTATCTTCACCTCCTTTCTCCTCCATCCATCAACAGTCTGTGGCCAATGATCTCAACTCCCTTGCACTCTCTTACACACCCACCCAACCGAATCCCAAACCCAGATCCTTCTACCTATGACTTTCCAAATGCCTTTGTCATGAAGTCCGGGGGCTCTCAGAAAAACATTTAAGCAGGGAAATAACTTGATCTACCTCTGTTTCTCTCTCCAGGATATTCAACACCAAGGAGAAGACCACCTGTCCACTAAAGCTGATGTCATAACAGACTCATGGTCTCCATTCTCAAGAAGCCCTCAGAGCTGCCCAGCAAACCTGCTTGGCTCTTTACTCAGTCTTCTCAAAGGCTATTAAATAGCCGCTATTTCAAACCTCTTCTACTTTACCCAACCCTCAGCCCATCACCTCCCCTTCCTCTCCCTTTAGTCTCAAAAAATGACCTCACCTCCTACTTCACAAAGAATAAAGCAACAATGCCTTCAACTTCCTGCTCACCCCCAAACTCACTTTTCTTGGTTTCCTTCCTCCTCCTCTCAAAGCCGGCATACATTCCTCCTTGGGATTCCACCCAATCCTGACTTCCTAGACAGTGGCTCTACCCAGTTAACTCGCTCTCACATCCTCAAACTTTCCTCTCTGCCAGCTCCATTCCATCAACATTTCAATGTGCAAGACTCCATCATTCACATGAAATCCAAGAAAGACATAACTGAAAATGAAAGTCAGAAAGTGACTGCAGGGAGGTGACTGAATGGACAAGGACACAGAAGAACTTCCTGGGGTAACAGCGATGTTCTGTATCTGGTTTCTGGTGGTGGTAACATGAGTGCATACAATTATCAACACTCATCAGCCAAATTGGCCTTAAGATCTGGCCATTTTACTGTTTATGTAATTACACCTCCAATAGATTGGTTGGTTGGTTGACTGACTGATTGTTAAAGCCAACTAGAGTAAGCTTTGTAAAAGTAAAGTCTGATCAAGTTACTTCCCCGCTTAAATTTTTTTCTGAGAGCCCCCTGACTTCATGACAAAGGCATTTAGAAAGAATGCCTACCTACCTCTTCACTGTCCCCCTCACCCCTTCTTCCCTCGCCTTCCCATATAAACTGCACTGCTCTCACACTGAGGTTATTATATTTTCCCAAACAGATGATGTCCTCTCTCTCCTCTGGCCACCTCTCCATGGACAGCCTCATGCCCCTTGTTGTGGCCAACTTCTATCTTTGAAGACCCAAGGAAGTCTTCCCCATCCCCCAACACAGGTCCTTTGGGCTCCCTGTGTTCACTGATACCACAACCCCTTTTACCCTGAAATTTTCATGCCCATCTGCCTCAGCAGAATGTAAACTCCCTGAGGACAGGGCCTGTGAGCCATTCCCTACTGGACGTTCTAGGAGTTCAGCAGGGCAAGTATTCAATTAACGTCTGTCCAATGAGTGACTGAAATGCTGAGAATGTTTTCTCCTCGATTTAGACACAGAGAAATGGAACCTGCAATATCAATGTTTAAGGAGGAAAAGGTAAATATAGGCAAATATTTTATATTTAATACTTCAATAACAACATATACACAGGAGACTGTATTGTGTCAGGATCTGCTGCAAACATAAAAAACAAACAAACATAAGACAAGCATACGGGGCTACCTATATTACTTCGAAAGTCAGGATAAAAGGAAAATGGAAGTTGTCTTGGGTAAATAAGTAAATCTCAGGGAAGGCAGGCTAAGCGAACGAATAAATATAAAAGTGGTCACTTTTTCAGTTGATTTAAGGGGAGCTGAGAATTGGTTCAAAAAACCTCTCTGAACTGTGTAAATGCCAGCAAAAGCAGCTAGGAACAAAACAATGATCTGGAAGCATACCAGGAATTCAAAGGCATCAAAGTCTAGACACTTCTCACTCCCCTTGGAAGGATCTGGCTGCTCGCCTACTGCCAGGATCCCTGCTGACACCAATTTCTTTCTTTCCACGGTCACTGTTAGAAGGATTGCTCAGAAGTTAACTTTCAGAGAAGCAGTTTCAGCCGCCCACCACCTTTCACATCTCAGAGGGGCACCGCCTGTCCTTTGAAAGGGAAAGAAAATGGATTTCTGTTAAATTGCAAATGAAATGAATTCTTTAAATATCAGGAAGCAGAGAATATAAGTAAAGCTCTTCCTTAGCACTTCCCGCTGCCAAATGAGTTCCCAAAGCAAAAGGTATTGGCTGCATTTCTTCAAGTGCTGTCTGATTTGCATGGATACCTTTGAATATTCCGGAACTATTGCTGGCTGCTGGTTATCACCAAGGCTTCTTTTCTTTCTTCCTTCTCTTTCCAGTCAAGAACTCCGTGTATGGCCCAGTATTAAAAGTATCACATTTTCCTTTACAAATTCTTTTAAACCAGCGGTTCTCAACCTGTGGGTCACGACCCCTTTGGGGGTCGAACGACCCTTTCACAGGGGTCGCCTAAGACCATCGGAAAACACATATATAATTACATATTGTTTTTGTGATTAATCACTATGCTTTAATTATGTTCAATTTGTAACAATGAAAATACATCCTGCATATCAGATATTTACATTACGATTCATAACAGTAGCAACATTACAGTTATGAAGTAGCAACGAAAGTAATTTTATGGTTGGGGGTCACCACAACATGAGGAACTGTATTAAAGGGTCGTGGCATTAGGAAGGTTGAGAACCACTGTTTTAAACCCTCCTAGGTGCCTCATGAATCCACTACCAATATCTGAGCCTGGCATCTGAAACCTTCAAAACAACACACTTAGGCAAATTTGCAGGAGAAAAGCAAAAATTGAGATAAAACGAACCAAAAGGGACAGCCCTGCCATTCAAAGCAAACATTTACATACTTTGTGTTAAACTGGCGTGTAGAAAAGCAAACACACAGTATCACTGGCTAACACCGAGTTCTATCTTACTTTGAATATTTTATTGTGGGAAAGCAAAAATTGAGGGGCGAGGGTGAATGGAGCTGAGATACGGACACCAGAACCCCATCGCCAGGGTGTGGCAGTTAGGGATCTGGACAGGGCCACAGCCCACCTTCCCACTTCCCCTGGGGATCAAGCTGTCCCTGAGCCTAGGGCACAGCACCAAAGGCTGAGGCACCTTCCTACACCCATGGCAGCTTCCAGGACACCACTGAGAGTGAGAAATGCAAATGCTGTCTTCCTCACAAGGGCAAAGCCATGTTCTGTCCACTGCCTGCTTGTGAGTAGCTGTCCAAGCTACCAACACCAGATCCCACACCAACATCAGTAGTACCTGTCAGCCCCCCTGAGCCTCTGCAAATGCCCCTTCCCTCGTTCAGTTATCCTTTTTTTAAAAAAAATACATTTTCATTTATTTCAGAGAAAAAGGAAGAAGAGAGAGATAGAAACATCAATGATAAGAGAAAATCACTGATTGGCTGCCTCCTGCATGCCCCCCACTGGGGATCGAGCCCACAATGCCGGCATGTGCCCTGATCGGGAATTGAACCGTGACCTCCTGGTTCATAGGTCCATGCTCAACCACTGAGCCACGCCAGCCAGGGCTCAGTTGTCCTTTTGACCAGCACTGAGCATGTACTAGGAGCAGGCACGGTGGTGGGGGGACTGGTGGAAGTCTAAACATGAACACTACATACAACCAGCCCTCAAAGAACCCAGCGGGGCAAGAAAGACTCCACATACCGAGCAAAGCGCGACAGGCCAGAAAAGAGAAGCAGAGAAGAGCCTTCTTGGGTCATGCTCCTTAGAAGAGCCTCATGTGGGGATTCCTGTGCAAGTAACTGAGGACGTGCTCTCATGAGAAACTTGTAAGAAAGTGAGGGAAGCCCTAGCCGGTTTGGCTCAGTGGATAGAGCGTCAGCCTGTGGGCCAAAGAGTCTGGGGTTCGATTCCGTTCAAGGACATATATCTTCATTGCAGGTTTCTCCCTGGCCCTGGTGGGGGCTCGTGCAGGAGACAATCGATGTGTTTCTCTTGCATCAATGTTTCTCTCTGTCTTTCCCTCTCTCTTCTACTCTTCCTAAAAATCAATGGAGGGACTCTCATAGCCAGTTAGCCTGGAGGTCAAATCACCCCCCGGTATTGCCGACAACAATCAAGGCTTAACTACAACAAGACTGCGCACAAAGACCACTAGGGGGTGCACCAAGAAAGCATAAAAAATGCGGAGACAAAGAAACAGGACAAAACTGTCAATGGAGGATATTGAGTTCAGAACCACACTTTTAAGGTCTCTTAAGAACTGTCTAGAAGCTGTCGATAAATGTAGTGAGATCCTCAAGAAATCTAATGAGACCCTCGATGTTATGATAAAGAACCAACTAGAAATTAAGCATACACGGACTGAAATAACGAATACTATACAGACTCCCAACAGCAGACCAGAGGAGCGCAAGAATCAAGGCAAAGATTTGAAATGCGAAGAAGCAAAAAACACCCAACCAGAAAAGCAAAATGAAAAAAGAATCCGAAAATACGAAGATAGTGTAAGGAGCCTCTGGGACAGCTTCAAGCGTACCAACATCAGAATTATAGGGGTACCAGAAGATGAGAGAGAGCAAGATATTGAAAACCTTTTTGAAGAAATAATGACAGAAAACTTCCCCCACCTGGTGAAAGAAACAGACTTACAGGTCCAGGAAGCGCAGAGAACCCCAAACAAAAGGAACCCAAAGAGGACCACGCCAAGACACATCATAATTAAAATGCCAAGAGCAAAAGACAAAGAGAGAATCTTAAAAGCAGCAAGAGAAAGAAACTCAGTTACCTACAAGGGAATACCCATACGACCGTCAGCTGATTTCTCAACAGAAACTTTGCAGGCCAGAAGAGAGTGGCAAGAAATATTCAAAGTGATGAATACCAAGAACCTACAACCAAGATTACTTTATCCAGCAAAGCTATCATTCAGAATTGAAGGTCAGATAAAGAGCTTCACAGATAAAGAAAAGCTAAAGGAGTTCATCACCACCAAACCAGCATTATATGAAATGCTGAAAGGTATCCTTTAAGAAGAGGAAGAAGAAAAAGGTAAAGATAAAAATTATGAACAACAAACATGCATCTATCAACAAGTGAATCTAAGAATCAAGTGAATAAATAATCTGGTGATCATAATAGAATCAGGGACATAGAAAAAAAAAATCAATGGAAAAATATCCTCAGATGAGGATTAACACACACACACACACACACACACACACACACACACACACACACACAGTGAGGGAAGCCACTTGGGAAAGGAAAAGATGAGGGTTGACACAAGCCCCGCCTCAGTCTGACCCACAGAGAGCTCCGAAGTGACATGCACTGTAGACTTTGTGCTGCCGTGAGGCAAAGGGCTGGGTTTTATAACCCCATCATGGACATCAGTCAATGATGTCAGTCACGGGGTCCAGGCCACCCCAGGGTGGAGGAGGAGGTGTTGCCTCCCAGTCTTCTCCAAGCTAGAGGGCTCCTCTCTGGAAGGCAGAAGCTTCCAGTGAATGATACAAATATAAGGTGTTAGCAAATAACCGTGCAATAGCAAAGCTTCACATGCACCAGCCCAGTAAAGGAGGCCTGGGCAGGCCACCAACATCATCTGTTACAGAGTCCAGAAATCAGTAAGATAACACAGGTAGAGGAAAGAGAGGGGGGGGTCATTCATTATGAATTTTCTATCTTCCCACCTCCCTGGAAACTGTCCAGGAGGTTCACAACCTCATCTCCACATGGTAGTTGAGCACATCTGAAAAGCCTCCAGCAAGCGGTGTGATTTCACAGCCTGGGCTGAAGGCTCACCTCCCCGGGCACTGGGCTCATGGTTCCCAGTTCCATCTGCTGCCCAGGAGCCCCCTGGCCTCACAGTGAGTCTCCAAGACCACGCTTGAGCAATAAACGGCAGTCATCCTCAGCCATGTAACTGACAACATTCTTCCAATTTTATGGTGCCTTTTATGCTCTTTATAAAGTTTCATGTTTTACTTCCCAGATTTCATTGTGTGCACTCAATGGGCCCCGGGAGTGTGGCTAAGTGGTTTTCATTTTCCAAGAATTATTTCTCTGCCTTTCCCTTCCACTACAGCATGGCTAAGAAATTGGGAAAAGCCCCCAAAGCAAGTTATCTGCGCAGCATATTCAATCCGGTCCAGGACGTTCAAGCGGAAATGAACTTAAAGAGAACTTCCCACATCCTTGGCTGAAGCCCCCACCCATCTGGATGTATTCAGAGGGCCCGTCTATGGTAATATAGAGCTAAAGAAGCAAATTCCAAAGTAACAAGATTAACCTTTTAATTAAAGATGATCCGATTATTCAGAGCAGAGGGAGCAGGTATCTGTAAGATGCCAGGGAAATTCTGGATCACCAGGCAGCTCCAAAAGGAAATAAATGCTCAAATCAATTAATTCATTCATGATGAGTTACTCTTGATTTAACTCACAGATCAAGCTCCTGACAACACTAGAGGAGAGTCTAGGGGAGGAAGGAGGTTCCAGGTCGGTCTCTTAACCAATGCAAAGCTGCCTCAACTACCTTTCATAAATGTACACGCTAATGATTTCATGAAGAACCACAGCAATCAAGTGGGGGGCGGGGGGAAGGTTACTAAAGGTTAAAATAGCAACAACTTTTACAGAGCAACTTCCATGTGCCCAGAACTGTGCGAGGAGCTGGATGCTTACATTCCTCAAAATTCTCATGAAAACACTGTCAGTACAGGAAATGGAAAAGGATACAGAATCCCTGCTGTTAGACATTAGCAGAGCGAGGAGGAGGGGCCAGGTACAGGAACTCCCCAGGGTAGAACTCACCAGGGTAGAACGCCCCAGATAACAAAGGGGCAAAACTGGGAACACAAGAAGCTCGCCCCCAGGGTAACCTATCCTTCTCCCCTAGCATATGACTGGTCATTCAGTTTGGACTCTTGATCTCTCATATCATTGGTCTGACAGTTTAGCTCCCTGACCTTTTCCTCCCTAAAGATAACATCTAGGCCTCAGTTGTATTTCAGTTCCAGGCCCAGAAAAGCAGCAAACCAGACAAGTGACCCCCTGGCTGCCTCAGGACCACCGGCTTTGATTAATGACCCCCAGCCCTGGCACTGAGCAATCAGTGGAGACCTCAACCCTGAAAAAGCACAGCTGGAAAGCTGATGAATATTCTACTGAGACCCTCCCCTGAGAACTCCCCTAAGATTCCCACCTGCAAGAGAAAGATAAACATGCTCAGGACAAAGGGCCTCGTGTGCACTCTCCCTCCAAGGAGCACACCCATGGCATTCCCTTCCCTCTCTGCTTCCCCCAAGGCACGGACCCCTAACCTCTAAGGGACCCGATGAGACTTGCAACCAGGGGAGCAATGGGCAGTGGCAGCTCATCCCGAGCTAACCCCCTGAACCTGTCTCCAAGGCCCCCTTTTCTCTGACTTCTCAGTGAACCAAAGCAGCCCAGCCTAGGCTCTCCTGTTGCTTCTT